ACTGTAGTACCTCTGAGTCTGGAGAAGAAGATTTTTGAAATATTGGATAATTTTCCCTTTGGGGCCCCGCCCTGGCCCCAGGGGTTGGGGTAGGAATCCCAATTTTACAATTTTGAAGCCTCATCTACCAAGGATGATTCTGACCAAGTTTGAAAAAAATCCATCCACTGGTTCTTGAGAAGAAGTTGAAAATGTAAAAGTTTACGGACGACGGACGACGGACGACGGACTCTTTCAATGTCTTCATTTTTGTTTTATATTAGAAAATTACAAAATACTACAGATCTTTGGGCAAGATTTTCCATTATTCAAGTGAAAGTTCATTGTTCAGAAAACAGTCATTAACTCATTCACCCCTGAAATTGCATAATGGACTATTCCAACCTTTGCAATGGGAGAGTTCAAATGTGTTTGTTTTCAGGGGTGAATGAGTTAATAAACTTTTATAACAAACTTTATGACATCTCTGTCTACCACATCAGAGGTGAACAATTTTATACTTCGAGTACTTTCTGCCAAACCGATTATTTTTACAATTTTACTAGCCCAACCAATATTATAATTGTAAATATCAGGAATTTTCATTTCCCCTCACATAAGCTATCAGGAATTTTCATTTCCCCTCACATAAGCATTGTACATCCATCCAAACATTGAGTATACATAATGGCAACAAGATTCTACAAATTAAAGTGTGTCATCAAAAACCTTGACTACAAAATAAGCAAATAGAATCTATAAAATACAAATAGGATTATATCATGAACAAACAATTATTATAGAATAAGCCAATAGAATTCTGCAAATACAAATCAAATTATAATTCATTAATGTCTTAAATACGAAAAAGGTACAAACACAAATCGGCAGACTTGCCATCTCTCCCAATTTAGGGGAAAGTCTCGATGTTGGACCCTTAAATTAAATATTTTGAAAAAGTGAATTTGCAAAACTTTTCCAATATTCTAAGATCTTATGCTTTCATCTAAAAGAACAACTCAAAATAAGTCATTTTGAAGTGTTAAGGTATCTCTAAGGTGTATATACACATATTTTATACTTTGAGTACTTTCTGCCAAACCGATTATTTTTACAATTTTACTAGCCCAACCAATATTATAATTGTAATCGCTCCCGTTTACTGATATGTTGCGTAGAAATAACAGTTAACAGGAGCAATGCAAAGATCTAAATTTAATTAGTTTGGAAATTTATAGGGAAGACTGTCTGTAGGCTCTTCACAGCACATATAGAAAGACAGAGCAAAATGGGGTGAAATGATAAAACTGAAAAATAAGGATCAATATTGGGAGAAAAACATGGTGTCAGTAGATTTAAATTACTAGAAGATGAAAGCACCGTGGAAAATATATAGGAGTAAAATCAGTGTTTTTTTTTTTTACAAAATCTGTTTACTAAATCTGATAAAAATAATAACCCATACAGTGATTGTGAAAAAACAAAACTTCTAACTAAGGATCCCTGTCCCACTGCACTGCAGTTTTTTTGTATAGAGAGTAACCTCCCCTTAGTTTTGTTTTGTTTCATAACTGTAGCACAGTTGAACCAGCAGGGTATTAACATTGACCAGGTAGCTCAATTGGTTAGAGGGATATCGTAACAATCTGAAGTCCATGATTCGAATCTACAGTCAGAACACTGTTGTCAGTTGTTGTTTTTTTATTTCTTCCGTTCTACCATAAATATTCGTGTATTACGCACACTCACGTATAGTGCACATGTACTTTTTGGGTGAAAAAAAAAATTGGAAAAAAATTGAGATGTTTTTAATATATAATTCCTGCAAGGTATGGTTTTCTTTTCAGAGACAAGATTTATCAAGCTTAAAGTCATGCCAGAAAAAAAACAGTTTCCAATGCGAAGTTTCAGTTTTTAGCAGTGGTACGGTGGTCCTTAAATAGAATCTTTCTCTACCTTGAGGATATGACAAAGATACCCCAAGGTATAAGACAAACTATAAGATGTCTTTAGGACAGATGGACAAATGTAGAGACAGACAGACAGATGGACATATGTACCGACACTTAATGCCCAACCAGAATATTTGGGTGGACACATCCTATAGTTAGAGTTCTCTAAGAAATCATTCCAACAAAAACGGAAACAAATATGTAAAACACGAAGGAAAATGCAACCAAACCTGTCAAAATCCACAAAAATAGAATTTCATTATAACATCATATAACTACTTTTCACAGTTTGCTTTGTAAAACATTGTTGATGAATGTTGTGATGATATAGAATATAGAAATTTTAGCATTAATTTTCTGGAAATTTTCCCAAGAAAACAACAAACAAAAAAATTCTCTCCTCATTTTTAGTCATGATTGATGTAGGACTTCCATAATTAGAATACTTAATTCAACCACTCAGAGTGATCTGGCCAGTTGATGGTATATCTTTACATCATAAGCTTTAAAAAAATGACTCTCTATCTGGGATTCCTTACCAGTTCAATGCCTATAAAGGAAAAATTAATTGGAGAACTTCACAATAAATTTAGAAAATCAATATCATTCCAAATAAGAAATTCTAAAAATAAAAATCTAAAATTAATTATAAAATAATAAAATATAAGGGACATGCAAGCTGTATATTTGAATATGCAAATACAAACATTCACAACAACGCTATAGGACCACCATGGTAGTACATGCAAGGTCAACAATATCATCTGCATAAACATGCATGGAGTAAAACTGGATGACTCAGTTTTCGAGGTGCAGGAAATGATTTGGGGAAAATAAGCAAGCCATTGTAGAACCCTGTCTTATCCCATACTATAAATGAAAATATTTCATTTTAATAATTTTTGAAGTTCTTTTATACAAATATATTTCAAACAAACTTTCACTTCAGTTATCTTTTTTTTATAAATTTTAAGTTTTACTATTCTTAAGCTTAAAAATAAAAGTATTATAATTTATTATCAAATTTCAGGTAAACACTGTTGTATCTCATTATCCCTTGTATTTAACATATTAATGGTATTATAATAAATTGATAACTAAGGATGTAAATAAATTGGATACTTGTGGTTTCTACAATTCAAGGTAGACCTTTTACTGCTAAATGTAGCAAGAAAAAAATCAAAAAATTTAAAAAGCACATTTTCAGAAATTTAAATAATAAATATAAAATGTTATAAAATTAAGTTTTATTGCATTGCTTAGCAGATTTTCCCAGAATAACATTATATGTATATTACATTGTTATATGAAATTATTCCAAGAATATTACTGGTCTGTTATATAAGATACATGTACCAGCCCATCTATCGACCATACATCGTTAAGTTTACAACTGATTACAATCCAGTTCTGTAGACAAGCATATCAAACAGAAATTAAGAAAATTTACATATTAACAGGAAAAATAAGGATATACATTTATTTTTTTGAATTGAATTGTATTTATTTCACAAAAATTGTGAAACAAGTTCTATCAACTTATGCTAACTAATCACTCTTGTTGGCTGAAGGAGTACCTGGAGAAAACCAGCAAGTTCGGGTAGGCGACCCATACCTTTTCACCTCTGATCAGGGAATTGAACCCCTGCCATCTTTGTGAAAGGCCAGTCAGTGCACTATTTCCACTGTGACCCGACCACCCAAAATATGTAAAATATAATTAGATCTTAACAATACATTATATAACGACACATTTGAATAAACAAATCAATCAAATTAATATTTATAGCAAACAGCATATATAATTAGATCTTAGTAATATAATACAAAAATATTAACCAAATGAGTATATGATAAGACAGGTTCTACTACTATCCACAAACACCACGTTCATTTCACTGTTTATCAACATATATCTTACAACACTGAGATGATGCTATAAATAGATTTTGTCTACTTTCACTTTCAATTTCACCTTCTGTTGCTCAAGCAGCAGTTTTGCCTCCTCCTGAGATATTTCCTCCCCTCCAAGTAAGGTGTCAGCCTGCTTTAAATGTGTACAATATATACCATCACGCTATTTATAGGTTTACTTTCATTTCGGCACTTAATTTCATTCTATAAATAGCCAAAGATTCTCCACCTTAATTTTAATGTTTGGTCAAATTTAAGCATAAATTACTTCCAAATCATAAATTCCCTTTTTACATTCTGGACTTTGAATCATTTACTTTGATGTAACATGTGTAATCTACCTCTGGTTGATTTTAGAAGATCTTCAACTTTGAACTTCTACTGATTTTCAGCAATTAATGTTCACAGTTGATATTTTTACTGCAGTAGAAAAACGAAGTTTGGCATATTTATTATTAGTATAGCTTGAAAAACTTTTCATTGAATCATGTCAATCACCATTGAGACTGCACATAAATGTGTAAGCACTCCATGCAATATAAATACAAACACACATTAGGCATCAAACTTTCCTAACTGAACGTCTCGAATCCATGTTTAATAACCATGCTGTTCTTATAACTGTTTTCTTCTATATGATAGATCCAGGCTGGTTTGGTCTGGTTTGGTTTAATTTTGTTAACGTCCTATTAACAAGCTAAGGTCATTTAAGGACGTGCCTCCGACGATGTAGTGTATGCGTGCTTGCGTGTGTGTATGCAGGAGACAGAGTATGTTGGTGTTATACCTCCTTGTGATAGCGCAGATCTGATGCCGACTTGATAGTGCTATTCAACTGACATACACTAGAGCAGCTGTGATTGAGGCTACATTCTTGATCCTGCTCTAGTTTACAGTGTTGATCCGATACCCCCTGATAGGACCCTTCCCTTCCTAACCCCATACCTATCCTCTTCTCTTAAACGGTAAAGTTGTACCTCGAGTCGATTCCCAAATGCCCTGGGGATGATGTTGAGATAACCACTACCCTGTAATATCCATGTCACCACTTTTTCCCTCACAGCTTTTTGAAATTGTTTGGGACCCACTGTGTCATATACTTAATTAAGCACAAACTTTATACTGGGTTATTTCTGATCAGAGAACAACAGTACAGGTTCTACAGTTTACTAGTTTGGGTTTACGTACCGAGGTAAAAATATTTCTCAACATGGCAGCATGTCAACACTTTCTATGTTTACACCTATAACTTTACATCAAAGCATCATATCTATAATGTTATCTTATGCAAGACATCTTTCATAAGGAATATATTATACAATTATTGCGCTTGTGGTATAGGGGAACATGATTTTTTTTATTCTCCGAGATTAATCATGTTTCACAGGAACAAGGGCTAAGCAAGACTGGGTTACTCAAATCATAATAATTTCCATAATTTCTGCCTTCATCTGGAAAATTATGTTTGCAAAATTTTTAAAATTTCCTAGAGTATTGAACATATAACTTGTGTAAATGTATATGCTTATGATGTACCCAAACAAACACCTACAAAAGTTTCTCAATACTGCCAGAAAGTATGTAAATGCCAATGAAAACTGGGCTGAAAGTTGGGTCAAATTTTGTCTCAAAATATATAAACAGAACAACCCATGATGGAAATATTTTACTAGAATGATACATCAATAAATCCTGTTATACCAGATGTCAGGAAATTGAATAAAAAAATAATCCAATTCCATTTTATTGCCAAGGGACCTATCTATGATAATATCCCACAGGGAAAACCTGTAACTCATGTTTTTCGGTAAAAAAATGTATCTACAGAAATAAAGTATAGTTTTTTTTGTAGAAATCCATATTTCTGTCATATAATTTTGTTATCAATGGTGGATTTTTACAAAGAATTTATTGATCCAGGGTTAAATTTCCCCCCAGTAGAATAAACATCTGTGCATTTCTCTGCTAGCTAGGCGATATTCTAGTGATTGTTATCAATATCGTCAATATCACATGGAATGATACTGACATCTATGTGTATAATGTTACCAGGCCAGCAATATATTCGATCAAATCTACATCACTGTTACAATGGATCATATATCATGTTGCTAAGGCTGAAGATTTTTTGGCTAAATCCACTTTTTTGTCACCAAGGACCGTTACGATCCTGTCTCCGAACATAAAATTGACGTTATTAGATATAAACACTATTATTTCATATCCCTGGTGATTGAAAATTGATTTTATCATGTGATAACTGCATGAGTATCTATTAGATCAATTTAATAATAATAATAATAATAATATACAACATTTGATATAGCGCTCTATCTAGCTAACATAAGCCACTCTAAAGCGCTTTACAGTACATAGATATACAGGAGCATTATGAGAAATAATTCCTTTTATAACAGCTAAAAAGTGGTACTGATTGATGTTAAAATATCACAGTAAAAACAATATTTCCACAAATCCTTTTAATAACAAAATTAAGTCATATATGACGACGGTTTTCACAGGAGTTTTGATCGCTCCAAGAGCCATTTGGGTTACCACATTTAAAATGATGTTCATCACATTGTTAACTCATTCACCCCTGAAATTTCTCTCTTCCAACCTTTGAACTAGAAGAGTTCAAATGTGTCTTCAGGGGTAAATGGGTTAATCATTGTGCTGTGGTTTTCTACCTTTCACTTCCAGTCAGTAAATATAAACTGAAGCACTGGTAATATATTAGCAAAGGGCCATAACTCTCCCTCTGACTATGTGACGACATTGAGTTGTTACAAAACATGGCACTTTGAAGTTTAGTTCTCACATCATTGATAAGAAACCGTGTTTTTTTTTCATTTGACTGAAGATTTGCAGTATGAAAGTTTAGTTATACAGGTTTTTATGCTGGTAATATGAGCTTATATCACCTTGTAATATGAGCTTATAACACCTGTCAGGGTTTCATATTTCATTTGCTTGGGCTTGGGAAAGCAAATATGTTTAACTCATTCACCCCTGAAACTTCATAATGAACTATTCCAACCTTTGAATTTGAAGAGCTCAAATGTGTCTTCAGGGGTGAATGAGTTAAGAGCCAATGGTTCTCCTGAAACAAATTATCTCAACAATAAGTTGGCAATTTTTAGTCTCAATTGTCAGCTGTCCAAGTTTTCAGTGACAGAAGTTTGGACAGCTATTTTGGGAAAGGGCATCTGAGCAAGAATTGGGAAAGTGTCATTGACATTTGGCAAAAATTGAGAAATGTCATCAGTGTACATGTACACGTTCGGGAAAATATCATAAATTTTGAAAAAAATAAAACCAACAATGTGATTTACAAAAAGTTTTCCTCTAGCTGTACAGTAAAATGTATAGCAATAAATAAACACATCAATTTTTAGTGTTTTTGTTTATTCAATTTCAAATTTCTGTTATTATTGTATTTTGAATGCTACTTCAATGTTACACTTGTAAAAACATGCCTTTTAATACAATTTGGAAAATGAAGACTGAAATTGGGAAAATGCAGGATCATTTTTCACTTGGGAATGGGTCCCTGTGCCGAACCCTACAAACATCTGGCAAAAACCCTGCAGTGAGAAGGTAAAACAATAGAACATTTATGGTACGTAATTGTAGGGCTATCCTAAAAAGCAACCCTGGACCGAATGTCCAGTAAACATGTCCAGTACAGACACAGTCCTGCGGAGGCTGTCCAGCCAAAGGCACTTAACATTTCAGCGTATCTAGGGGGCTCTGTTGTTCATGTAGAGAATATTCAGGAGCCAGAAGGCTATTGATTTACGTTCCAGCATACAAACACCCTGAAATCTGACAACAGTCCATTGAGATGTGCCTGTCTGACACTGCATGTCATTACACAGCAACCATGGCTCCTGACTCAATGATAGAAGTGGCAGCAACAGTTTGTGTATTGTGGGAGGTTTCAATTCAATATTACAATCATGGAAACGACTTGTGGTAAAGCTACAAATATACGGAATGGAAAAATAAATATATACGAAAAGATAAACCGTCTGGATTTGTGGCATTCGCTTATTAGGAAAAACTGTCAGAAATATTATATCTTTTGAGTACTGCACTATTTTTAGGTGTGCTCTCATACAGGACTCTGTTTCAATGACAAGAGACCCATTGTGAACTATTCCAACCTTTGAATTGGAAGAGTTTACATGAGTTTTCAGGGGTGAATGAGTTAAAATTGATCTGGTAGTGAAATTGGAAATTACTTAAATTTGTCTCAGTCCATCAGAGGAGAGGGTAGTCATCTCAAATTTCTGACCAGAAAAGAAATCTGTAGAAAATGTCAGGGGAACATGGATTTTATCGACAAAGGACAAATATTTGACTGGGCGAAAGGTCCCTGGTAAACAGTAATATAACAGATCAGCAGCACAGAATATATACCGTCATTATAACGAGAGCTATCCAAATATATGAGTACAAGTTTACACACTGTGTACATGTACTTTCATACTAGTACATATAAACCATATAGAAAAAGGGTGTCCAAATATACGTGTACAAGTTTACACACTGTGTACTTGTACTTACATACTAGTACATATAAACCATACAGAAAAAGGCTGTCCAAATATACGTGTACATGTTTACACACTGTGTAAATGTACTTACATACTCGTACATATAAACCATATAGAAAAAGGCTGTCCAAATATATGTGTACAAGTTTACACACTGTGTACATGTACTTACATACTCTTACATATAAACCATATAGAAAAAGGCTGTCCAAATATACGTGTACATGTTTACACACTGTGTAAATGTACTTACATACTCGTACATATAAACCATATGGAAAAAGGCTGTCCAAATATATGTGTACAAGTTTACACACTGTGTACATGTACTTACATACTAGTACATATAAACCATATAGAAAAAGGCTGTCCAAATATACGTGTACAAGTTTACACATTGTGTACTTATTAATATAGTAAATCTGCAGTAGAGAGTAAATATAAGGTTTGTTATAATCACAGCTGCCCAAATGTACATATACAGGGTTTATACACTTGTATAAGCTAATAACACAACGAATATGAAGCATTGTGTATGTCACCTACCTCTAGTTCACCTTCACCCTCCTTTAGACAGCAAATAAAACACCAAAACCCAATTTAGTATGATGTACCCATTTTGTAAGATTAAATATTTTAAATATATCTAAATATCTTAAATATATCTAAATATCTTAAATATCTAAATATCTTAAATATATCTAAATATCAGTTTGAAAACTTCAAACTGATTTTTTTTACCTATGACAAATGTGACAGATTATGATTTTTTTAATATTTTGCACAAAAAGTGATAATTCTATTTTTTTTAATGTAGACTGTGCCAAACCCTATCAAACAAAATTCAACTACGTAATGTTTGTCATTTTAATATTTGAATCAAAAGTTAGTTTTTATTGTTTAGAAAACTGATAATTTTTATTTTGTTGATATCATTTTATATTTTTTTTAATGGCATGAATAAGTACGTAACTATAATGGTATATGTTAACTATGGAATATTCTGGTGTTTTAACCCTTTCAACCCCGGAGACCAATTATGGACTTGTCCAGATGAAAGGAAGGAAGAATCTATAAAAGTTAGTTAGGGGTGAAAGTGTTACAGAAGAAAATGCCTCGATTTGATCAGAATCAGTGCAGGACACAGTAAATGTTATTAAAAAGCAGTTTTTCTACATGTTAAAAATATTTGTTTCAGTATTAACTTACAAGATGTCTTTCCTATCAATGGAAGAACATTGAAAAGTGATTGTTAATGAATCTGAATAACTTAAAAGCTTGCAAGAATTCTCTCATCAATACACTTTTACAAACTAATGAAATATCAGTTTATACCAATACAACTGGGCATTTTAAACAAGGGGAGGTAACCCAATATAAGCTTATACCAATACAACTGGGCATTGTAAACAAGAGGAGGTAACCCAATGTAAGCTTATACCAATACAACTGGGCATTTTAAACAAGGGGAGGTAACCCAATATAAGCTTATACCAAATATAACTGAGCATTTTAAACAAGGGGAGGTAACCCAATATAAGCTTATACCAATACACCTGGGCATTGTAAACAAGAGGAGGTAACCCAATGTAAGCTTATACCAATACAACTGGGCATTTTAAACAAGGGGAGGTAACCCAATAAAAGCTTATACCAATATAACTGGGCATTTTAAACAAGGGGAGGTAACTTAGTACAAATACGGTACTATTTTTAACAAGCCTTTCGGATTGATATGTCTCGCATGTGCCCACTTTGACCATAAATCTACAGGTCAAGTTTGGTTGGTCTAGCACTAATAGTTTCGGAGAAACCAACTTAAACGCAAAAACTTGATGTTGATGGAGATGCTGACAAAGTCAATGGACCATGAAAGGTTACAAGGCCGCATCCAGAATTTGATGCATAGGTTGAGATGTACTACCTAAGATGCATCTATGATCCAAGTTTGGTTGGTCTAGCACTTATACTTTCAGTGAAACTAACTTAAACGCAAAAACTTAATGCTGATGCCGTCGTCGGAAAAGCAACAGCTAAGTCTTGCTTCCGCTACTTCGTGGTTGCGAGACAAAAACAAGTCAATGGGGATGTATTATGCATAGAGGCTCTCTAATGAGTGGTGGTTGGTTGGTTATATCAAGTTAGGTCATTTTCAAACTGAATAAAGAGAGAAGATTAATATGGAGTAATTATTTTACAACTTTCAGATTAACTTTTGAGAGCTATATATAAACATGATATTTAATTATAACCAACCGTCTCAAGTTTGGGGACCTTTTTCTCCCATAATATTAATATCTTATCAGGAAAAAAATTATACGATTCCAGTGTTCTGATTGTGAAAAAATTGCAGTGAATCACCATATCACAATATCACAATGGAAGATGCTGGAGCAAAGAATATTTATGTGTTCCCATAATTAAAAGACTGGCCAATGAAGTTAAATCCAGGTAGATTCCCACGTGCGGAAAACATGAAAACTTTTAAATCCTTGCATGTTTATACGATACTTCAGAAGTGGAGAAACATATAGAGGTTATGAAACAAATATATAATATGTATATAATACCACAGCATTCTAAGAACCTCAGCTTCCCAAAAAGATTTTAAAGGCAGATATACAATAAGCCTAATATCAATATAATTAATACAGAAATAAAGATTTTTTAAATAACAAATTATTTGAAGCAAAGATGCTCACCTCAGTAATTACAGAACTACATGTAGCTATATATAGAAATGTAATTATCTATGTTATTTCTTTGACGAAAACTCCAAAAAGTTTACCTCAGGACTCTTCTCAATATCCACGGCGGTACTTTCGTCTCTTCCATCTTCTGGGCCTCCATTGGCTGTAACAATAGCAACAAAATACATAATTGAGCAATCAAATGTTAAACGAGAATATATGCAAACAACCAATGGCTGAACAAGGCACACATCAACGACCGATCAAAATTAAACAAGGTTATAGATATACTGTACAAACAACCAATGGCTGAACAAGGCACACATCAATGACCAATCAAACATAAACAAGGTTATAGATATACTGTACAAACAACCAATGGCTGAACAAGGCACACATCAATGACCAATCAAAGGTAAACAAGGTTATAGATATACTGTACAAACAACCAATGGCTGAACAAGGCATACATCAAAGACCAATCAAACGTAAACAAGGTTATAGATATACTGCACAAACAACCACTGGCTACAAATATTTTTTTCACACTTGTTGATTAAAACTTCTTTGGGAAGAAAAAAAAATCAAGTGGAAAAATGATTTCCAAAATATAGTCTTCCCTGGCTACAAATATTTTTCTCGCACTTGTCGATTTAAACTTCTTTGGGAAGAAAAAAACTCAAGTGGAAAAATGATTTCCTAAATATAGTCTTATAGCAAGGTTCTAAAACTATTCCTAGAAGATTTCGCCCGGTCAACTAATGGCCCTTCACTGATAAAAGGCTCTTTTAGGCTGTTATTTGCACCCTACGTAATTGTAATTGTATTCAGTATTTCAGTAGAATATGCAACCATATTTTCTCTCGTAACAAACAGCCTTTCTTAAGGGAGGACAATTACTGTCAAAGAGGAAATATTAAGTGTAAAAATGTTTGTGTCGTGACTCATGATTGATCAATGTAAAACTATTTTCACATGAAATTATTTTTTCAACAATGGTAATCAATTCAACATTAATTTGGTTATACCACTATAATCCCATGTTTTAAGAAACATATTTTTTTCTCTTTTTCTGTGTAATAATGTCCCAGTAATCCACCTTCTTATTATAATAAGACAAGGGTGTGTAGCCTGCACCTTCTTATTAGACAGTGGGTTTAGTTATTATCACAGGTATAAGACAAAGGTGTGTAGCCTGCACCTTTTTTAGACAGTGGGTTTAGTTATTATCACAAGTATAAGACAAGGGTGTCTAGCCTGCACCTTTTTTTAGACATTGGGTTTAGTTATTATCACAGGTATAAGACAAGGGTGTGTAGCCTGCACCTTCTTATAAGACAGTGGGTTTAGTTATTACCACAGGTATCAGACAAGGGTGTGTAGCCTGCACCTTCTTATTAGACAGTGGGTTTAGTTATTATCACAGGTATAAGACAATGGTGTGTAGCCTGCACCTTTTTTTAGACAGTGGGTTTCGTAATTATCACAAGTATAAGACAAGGGTGTCTAGCCCGCACCTTTTTTTAGACATTGGGTTTAGTTATTATCACAGGTATAAGACAAGGGTTTGTAGCCTGCACCTTTTTTTAGACAGTGGGTTTAGTAATTATCACAAGTATAAGACAAGGGTGTCTAGCCTGCACCTTTTTTTAGACATTGGGTTTAGTTATTACCACAGGTATAAGACAAGGATGTGAAGCCTGCACCTTCTTGTTAGACAGTGGGTTTTGTTATTACCACAGGTATATATAAGACAAGGATGTGAAGCCTGCCCCTTCTTGTTAGACAGTTGGTTTAGTTATTACCACAGGTATAAGGCAAGGGTGTGAAGCCTGCACCTTCTTATTAGACATTGAGTTTAGTTATTACCACAGGTATAAGACAAGGATGTGAAGCCTGCACCTTCTTATTTGACAGTTTGTTTAGTTATTACCACAGGTATTAGACAAGGATGTGTAGCCTGCACCTTCTTATTAGACAGTGGGTTTAGTTATTACCACAGGTATCAGACAATGATATGTATAAGCCTGCACCTTCTTGTTAGACAGTTGGTTTAGTTGTTATGGGTAAGACAAGGATATGTACGTAGCTTTCATCATCTGATTTATATTTGGATGTAGTGTAACTGCAATAACAAGTTCCCAGTATACGGTATTAATGTAAATAATGTTTATCATACATTGTATCATTTACCTTCATGACGCTAGAGCCTTGAATCAAAATTATAACTTCCCCCATATCTGAAAAAGGGCTGATTCCCTAAAAGCTAGATTGATCCCCGACTTGAAATCCCCTAACTTATTAGATACTGCTGAAAATCAACAGTATCCATCTTTAAACCATTTATGTAATATTGTTATTCTCCTGTGCCAAGGGAAACCAGAATATCAGGTTGTTTGAATAAAGAAATGACACTTCATGATTGATGACTGTTTTGATATGAAGTTAAACAAAAAAATCAAAGTTTGTATATCATGCATGCTTTGCATATACAAACCAAAATTCAATCTGCTTAAAATGCATCACTTCTAAATACAGGTGTGATTTAGCCTTAAACAGTTTTAACAACTGGGAGTGTCAAAGTTATAAGCCCCACTTCATTGTAATGATCTGAGACACTGCATGAGCTAATATGATAACTGATTATGGGGAGAAATGGGTAAGCATGCCATAACTCCCATTTGTCTGACTGCCTGTCCTAATTAAGTATTTAACAAGACAACATTTCTTGTTCGTGACAGCTAGCATACCTCATTGAAGCTTTGTGAGTTGGTTTCATTTGTATGTAAACCACAACACCTGATGAGTCATTTTCATATGTTTTTTAAAAGCTTGCAAAATTAGTTTTTGAACACTGTGTCTGTGTACATTTAATAAACCTTTGAACTAACAAGAATTCCACGGAAGTGGATGTGTCGCCTGCGCAGGAAGCTGGGAGATTACGAAGAAATAGATACACTTTTCATTTCAAGAAATAATGTTAAAAGTAAGCAATAATCATAGATTATGTTTTTGGATGGCATCATTTTGTTATATAATCTGTTATTCATGGAAGATTACTCTGAGTTTTAAGGAACTTACTATGGATATTCATTGTCTCAATTCCAAGTTTAATTTGTATGATTTGTCGGATGGTTTCCCATAAATAAATGAATAAACTTGTGGATTATGATGTTAAACAGCTAGTGTTGTCAATAACATTTGGAGTAAG